GAGAAGGGAGGCCCAAAAATGCACGGAGGACAAAAGAGTCTGCGCGATCGTATTCTTCCAAAAGGCGACGCGAAGGTCGACGAGAACAAGTTCGAGGTAAAACTGGAAACCACCGGTGCGATTTCGATGAAGGACCTGTGTGGCGACGAATACGCGGGGTTTTCTTGCAATATACTTTTCTTTATTCTCCGAGTCACACACACATACACACGCGCGACCTCGGCAGGGCCCGGGGACCGTTAACCCTTTCTTGCCGAGTGAAATCGTAAAGCGCGTGTCTGCAACGTGCACGTGTCCGACAGGAACGGTATATTCCAAAATGATAAACGATGAAGCTCTTTTTATGCTATTGTTAGACCGCGAGAGTGTCGTATTTCTCGCGTCCTCCTCGGGTTCGAAATTAAAAGCGCAAACCTGTTCCCGCGGATGGGAATCATTATCAACGCTTCAATTGGAAGTACGCTCGGACCGGGCTTAATTTATCCACGGAGATGCATTAAATGCACGGCGAGTTACAGGAAAGAAATTTTATCGTGCACACGGAGAGAGGTGTTTATTATTAGCGAGAACAGCGAGATCAGCCGCACCACGCCTCTGACACGGTCTTTGATGCGTGATGTATCGGACGTGACGTAAATAACTATTTTCTATACTGAGGAGAAGAAGAAATATTTTATATCGCGCAGAATTTTCAGATTTCATTCTCCAAAATTACTAACAAAAATATTATGTAACGCATTATCGGTACAAAGTGCAACTGCGATCTTTACAGATTTCACAGGTTCAAACGGAGTAATTCGATGATAAGACAGATACTCGTCTCGATAATAATAAAGCAGGATAAACGGCTTCTCCCAGTTGGAAATCTTTTCTCAGCCGGCGCAATGTTTCGGAGGCAATTCCGCGGGAACGATATTTTGAGCGTTATTTCTTATTGAGAGCAGCGATTCGGGATGTTACCGCGTATCGTCGGTGTGACTTAACCAATTCGCGGCTGGAGACCTCGAGAACGCTGCTCTTGCTTTTAGAGCCCAATATGTATCGGCTTGTGTTGATCAAAAGTACAAACGCGGAGGTTAAACTTGGAAGCACGGGCAAAGCGTTGCGGTTATTTGTAACGTCTGCGCTCACGCCACGTATTTAGCGCTGAATATACGGCTAATATACGGCTTTCGTGTTGATAGTGTTCCCGTTGCCTTGAGAAAAACTCACCAGGCGTGATCTGCGCGCGAAAAGCAATCGCCAGGAGTATTACTAACAACCGCCACCGGATATCGCCGATAAGCATCGGCTATTTGTATTCAATCCCGTTCGTAGTTTTCGTCTACCGGACGGCCTACAGATGAATAAAAAACCTAACGACACTCATTAACTGTTCTCCCTTAACTTGAAATTCGATAGATTTAATTTTAATGCTCACGTCAAACAACCCGTTCTGAAACAGCGAGAATAAAAATGTGAAATATTACCAAAATCAAAGTAGTCGGGATTCACGCTTTGCGCGTTATCTCCTCGTTACTTCCTCACCGTCATCCCCGAGGAGGAAACTTCAAGGAAAATCCCCGGTCTTATCTCGATAACTCGTTCCGCGAGGCGGACGGAAGATCCTGCCGAAGGATCCCACGAGGCCAGACTGGACTTCCCCGAGCGGCGGACAACACCTCGCTCTTTGTATCACCCCGGCATCGTATTAACCGTAATCAGTGCGAATATACTCGGTATATCGAATTACCAGCGGTCTCTTCCGATTTCTCGCCGTTCGCGCCGGCCGATTCCGGTTGGCGGCTCAGGTATTACCGCTAAATACGGACGCCATAGCGTACGCGACCGCTATTCGAGCGCGCGTACGTGCCTCACGGCAACGTAACACACACACACACACACACACGTCGGCACTCGAGGCAACATTCCGCGGTCACCTCTCGCGCGGGGTAGGGGGGACAGCCGCCGAATTAATTAATCGCCACCGAATAGGCGTTAGCGAATCCACGTACCGTAATAATGGCGGTGGCCGGCCGATTAAGGCCGACCCAGTCCGAGCGGGCGAAGATATGCAGAGAAAGTCGAGGGAGGCCGCGCGCGTACGCCTATGTCCGGTCGTTGCACCGCGCGCATTGCGATTCCTCCTGCTTTTTGAGCTCGCGCATGCGATGATGACCGGCCACAAATGTCAGAGCGGAATTTCATCGGAATCGTTCACCGGCCCGATCAGCCGATCTCCTCGGCCGTTTCCTCGGTTCGCTCGGAGCGAAGCCGGAAGGCGCGTACGAGTCGCCGTCGACGTTCCGCGTGTATGACAATAAACAACGAGGGCGACGATGAGGGGACGCGACACCGAAGGTCACGTCTCTTCTCGTCTCTCGTTGTCATGCGAGCTGCGCGCGTCCGAGATCGCGCTTTCTCCCGAGCGCGAATTCCTCGGCGAACTCCTCTCTCGGAGTAGGTTTCCCGAGACTCCGGCGCGAGAATTCGCCTCCGGTGAACGAGATGGCCAACCACCTTGACTGGGGCTTTAAAGGCCTCGGCTGTTAAATTCGGATTCGGAGGCGTACACGTCTTCTTGCGGACGCATCGAGTTCAACTGTCCGTTGATCAAAGTTAAACGCTTTCACCGAATCGAAAGTCGCGCGATTAGCGGATAGATAAGAGACGTCTCATCGACACCGAGAGGCTCGACCGCTTCCATGGGAAAGATATTTCTTTTATTTATCTGTTAAATTGAATCTCTTCTAATTAATGGAGCGTTAAAGTGCCTGATTAATGGGGACGTCGTAGAATCTCTTGCCAAGAGTTCAAGACCGGTGCTTTTCTAGTCGGATATATCGATGATGTATTGCCTGCTCTTTCGACGAGAAAGTCATTGAGAAAACGATACAAATAAAGTTGTGCATCTATATATGAAAAAAAAAAAAAAAAAAAAAAAAAAATAGGGCTAAAAAAAGCGATTGTACTCAGTTTACTTTCCTTCCTTGAAATGGTAGTCATCTTCAATAAAAGATAATTGCTTGGTAATAGTCTTAAAATTTACCCGTAATATATTTTAGAAAAGCTCATTATCGAATGTTAATGATCAAAGCAACACGAGTGTCCAGAATGAAATACATATCCAAGCGTTGGATACTCTTACTTCACCTGAATGCGGTATATATTTTCCGTGTGCGCCCTTCGGGCGTACCGGCTCTTCTCGTGAAAATCCGAAAACTCATCGGACGAACTTATGTTAATTGAGAGTTTCATCGTTCGACACGTGTGACACGTGTGTCGCAACTTTTACTCCGGCATTCGTAAGAAGCGATCTGCAAAACACAGACTTCGAGCGAGCAAACCGAGAAGAGTCCGCGAGGTTGATTCTCGAGGTTTTATTCACCGGCGTGGTCGCTTCGGAAATAAATCTCTCGGCCGAAGGAAGCTCTCTCTCTCTCTCTCTCTCTCGCTCTCTCGTTCGCTCGTGCGCGCGCGAAAGGGTGATTTAATGGCGGGACGACGGGTGAAACCCGTATGCAATGAACGCTCGACCGATACGGAATTGACGGTGACCTTGCTTGCTGATGCACCGGCTGCAAGAAGTATCGCGCACTTCCGTCTGGTCATTCATGCGCCAAGGCTGGACACGATCGGGAGTGCGCGCGCGTACCCGACGTTTATCTATCGCTCTTAATTGCCGCTTATCTAGGGGCTTAATTAACGATGACGGATATGCCGGAATCCGTTCCCAATTTTTCCATCCCGGCATCCCCGGTAACGATAGGGCCGCCGGTGAAACGGCTCGTCGGCGAATGAAATATCGACCGTTACCCCCTTCCCCCGGCGAAAGAAAAGCACGCGCAGCACCCGCAATTTGCATAGACGTTTATAAATAAATGCATTTTTCTGGCAAATCGCGCGATCCGGTTTGCGACATGGCTACCTTGATGCGATAAACTCGAGCGGTTTATAGTTCAATTAATTGTGCAACACTGTTGCGATTAATGAAGAAACTCTTCTAGGTCGTAGGTTTATTAATTTGCGTCGTCAACGTGATAAATTGTGGAATTTATGCTTTTGCGTAATTGCTGGAGTGTGATAATAATTGCACACGTACGTGTGTATGTGTGTGTGTGTGTGTGTGCATACTTGCAGTTCAAATAATCGTTCATCGCGCCCGCCTTCGGCACGACGACAGGACGCGTCTGAGGATTCATTATTTCAAATAACACATATTCCACCCCCCCCCCCCTCATTCTAACCACCGATTTAAATATATTTGTCAAGATAATTGATTCTAAGCGTTATCGAATGTTTGTACAACCCCTGCAATTTCAACGGTCCGATCGGAGGATCTTTCATAAATCTGGGGCTCGTAATTGCGTACCGACAGAATTGCATTCTTCCTCTTCACGATAAATTTCACACGGAGAAAAATAATGTTGCTGTTGTAACGTGAATAACCGTCGTCGCTGCTGCATATTTGTTGCGACAGCGATAAAATCTAGTTGATACAATGAAATTAGCGAATTATTCGTAATCAGAGCGGAAACAGTTTTCGCCAGGGTGGGAAATATTCTGCCGAGTGAATTTGTCCTTCGAGAACGAGTTCGTTCTTTTTTTTTTCTTCCTTTTAATTTACCGTCTTCCTATTACATTTGCTCATTGGTTCCTACAGCAAAGTAATTTGTAGGTGCAGTAAAATAATCTAACGAACGGCAACTGGTATTCTTGACGAGTCGTTTCTACTGTCCACGCAGCCGGCGGGATTTTGTCGCGACACCGAATTTACGAGCATAAAACTTGCCCCGCCAGCAAATTACATCCCTTCCCCGGTGCGCGCATTTTTTCCCCGCGTACATCCGCCTCGGGAAGAAATAATTAAACCGAATTGGTTGGTTGATCTTTTTCGATAAAAAGGACGAAAGTTTCGTAATCATTGAGCGAAGCAAGGCTCAATTAACGCTGGGATTCGGGAGGACGAATGCCTGCGGCAATGATCACAATTAGAAATTCTAGATCAGTCAGTCACTCACCCTTGGCCCATCCGGTCAGCACGTTTCCAAGATACGCGACCTTGTAGCAGGGATCGTACTCGGTGATCGAGGCGTTGCCTCGATGCCTCCTCCAGAGCCGGCCGAGTCCTCTCTTCAAGGACCTCAGCGTCTTCTGGCCGAACTCTTTGGGGACGCCGCCGGTGGACTCCACCGCGTCGTCGGTCTCGTCAATGGGGTCCGCGACAACATCGCCCATCGTCTTCATCCTCGCGTTTCTTCCCTCTGCCGCTGGTCCCTCGATCCTTCGCTCGCTCGCTCGCAATTCGCAAGATATTCGGTTCTTCTCGTTCGCCGGATCAATCGCTACATTGTGCCGCACGCTCGTCGTCGCCGTTCCGTCTCGTCGCTCGCGCGAGAACGAGATCTCGGCGCGAAGAGGTCGGCCCTCCTCTCGTCGTTTTCTCTTTTTCTTCCTCCGGTCAGGTGGACGAGAGCTCTTTCGAGGTCACGACCGGCGTCGGCGATCGAGAGAGGTTGCGAAAGCCGAATAAATCGTCGGCCGGCTCACCAGCAACGGCAGCAGTAGGAGCAGCAGCTGTCATTCGCCGCCTTCAAGGCCGTTTCTTCTCTATCGGCTTGCTCTCTCTCTCTCTCTCTCTCTCTTTCGCGCGCGCGCGCGCACGGGAGCGCACGCGAAAAGGTCGCAGCTTCGCAGTCCCCTCTATCACGAGACCCCGCGTGTCATCTCTCCTCTCCTTCCGGGGGTGCCAGCGCGCGCTCTTGCTCACCGGCGGCGAGGTTCACAGTGCGACTCTGAAACGGCGAGACAAGGGATTAAATAGGCTTCGACACGGCATAAGAGTACAGAAGGTCGATCCGCGCAGATAACGCGCAATCGTCGATATCGCATGACCGTGCATTTTCGACTTCCGTCGATGTTATATTTTCGGACCTGACGATATCGATCTGAGGCAATGCGTCATTTCTTCACTTTGGCGATAAGCACGACAGGAAAGCGCTAGGTTAGAATAAATTACCTGTTTTGTTGGCCTCTTAAATCAAATATTTCCAGCGGTTTGGGTACGTTTAATAGCTTTCGTAGTAATTGAAATGCCTAATTTGTAAGTAAATTATCGAGTGTAAAATGCTTTTAACGTTTCCCTGATTTTTACGAGTCTGACGATTTATAACCGTTCGACAGATTTCAAATTCATCCTCGGTCCGTCGCAATGTTGTAAAAGCCTCTCGAAAACGAGGTCAAGTATATAACAGTATATGACGAATAAATCGCGATGTTAGTGACGTTTAATAAAGATAAATATTCCAGATCAATCGCGGTATCGACGGTATCGCGTGCGCGCGCGTCAATCGAAAAATCAATTATCTCTCGAATATTTTCGCAAGGTATATATTCTGTCTCGTAATATCACACTTTGGAGTTCCCTCTTATGCAAGACATCAAGTACGTCACTTGTCATTTTTCGCAGAGCTCTGGGTGAAAAACTAGCTTAAATTATAATTTATCGCTATTAACATTATACCGTCTTTGATTTGAATACTGTTTTTCCTAACATCTTTTCGCTTTTTGCACACATGTATGCATAATCGACGTCAAATAATCGCCGATATGAATATGAAATAGCCGCGAAAAACGCGCGGCAAACCTGTGCGAGAGAGTTTACGAGGAGCGGCTGTCGATAAGAAAGTACACGAGGACGAGTGAAAAAGGGTGTGAAAAGAAAAAGAGTCTACGGTTAGATGAATTTTCAGTACAAGGCTGGCCTCGTGCCGCGTTCGCTTCAAGACCGTAAGCTGCACACGTGCGAACGCGCGTTCGTCCGGTCAGTTTATCTCGCCGGAAATTATGGTTTCACCGGAGGTCTTGCGGTCAGACGGTGCCGCGATCTCCGCCCGAAATCCGCTTATCGAGCACGGATATTCGCTCGCTTGAGTGCATCTCACTTTATCCTCGAGAACCTTAAGAGCTATAATAAAATATAGCCAGCGAATGTGGAAGATATTTTCACACAAAAGCCAATGTCGATTCTGATAATATTCTCACAACAATATCTTCAATCACGAATGTATTGCTGTCCTAAACACTTACATTACGATTTCTTATTCTACTACTCAACTCATTAATATCACGCAAATACATTCAATTTTCTCTCTTCCAGATGCATTCCTAAAACTAAACTTTCTCGTCTTGGCATTACTGTGTAATGTGTAATGTGAAAGGATGTGCGCGTGACGACGTCAATCGTACAACACAAATGGAATCGTGAAGTATATGCGTTGCCTCCATTTGTTGTTTCAAAGTGGTCAAGCTCTTACGTCAATTCAGTTGTTTACGTAGCAGTTAAGAGATCGATTCAATTGATTATTATTTAGATTATTATTCAGTTATACGTAAGAACGTTTTGCAGCACACAGTAGCCGGTCGCTATGGCATTTCGCGACGGTGTTGCGAAAGAAGGCAAAAAAAAAAGGAAAGAGAAAAAAGAAGAAAAACGCTTCCGGGTTCGTACGAGAAGCATTTTCGCTTCCTCCGATGCGTGTTTTCCACTACTAAAACCACCTACCCATTATTCGCCAAATACCACGCATTTTCACATCGCGGCCCTGCCACGCTGTTTACGAACATTTCTCATAATTGAAACATGCGCCTGCAGCGTGAATAATCGCCATTGTATAACCGGTGTAGTTGTACCTCGACAGGCGGACTTTTGTAGCTGCGTACAAAACGCGATTCTTGCCGCACTTCTTGCGTATATAATACGGAAGATAAAAATTACGACACAGCGCTGTCGTAACCTATCAACGCGACTTTGTGTCGCTGTCGAATGTAAATTACTCTCGCACTTTAGTTGACTAAAAAAAATTTACTTTGCATGTGGGCGAACAAATGTTTCGGTCTTGAGAACCAAAATTGGATTCTCCGAGACGAAAATGAAAAAGGTTTGATTTAGATTCAGTATTCCTATTTATTTGACTAAAATCTGTTCAGGTAACATGTACGAAATATTATTTATTTGAATAATTTATTTGAATAAAAATTTTATCTCATTCAAGTAAACTCTATTATTTAGCAGAAAGAACGCTATTATTTGAAATAACATCTTTCAATCGAATAAAAGATTGTTTGGCCATCCCATAAACATGTAAAATAAAACACAGAATTTCCTTGTAAGAAAATTGTCCTTCGTTTCAAACAAATTTTCCATTTAACATAAAGATACATATTCATTGAAAAGTCCAAAGACCGTACTTGTCAATCGAAACGTTAGTTTCCTCGGAAACTATGCCGATGGTGAGATTTGTGTTTGGATGCGATAAAATCGATGAAATCTGAAGAAACCTTTTTCTCGGTGTGCGCGACATTAATCTTCAATTCGTCTAATATCGTCCGTGTACCGATATCGATTTTAAACATGTTAATCTAGTCCGTTGTGTAAATCGTTTTTTAATGCACAAATAGCTATGTACGACGATGCGTCGCGCTCGTACTGTCTGTTTAAGTTTAGTTCGCACTAACAGTTCGTACTATCGCCGACCTTGAATTTCCCGCGAGCGAAATTTACGACCCGCGCGCATTGAGCCGCGATAATGCGAGCGAGCGGCCGATTCTTTTCCTTCTCGAGCTAGAATTATCTCGAAATTGAGAATCACGAATCCTTAATTATACGTTTCCGCGAAACGTCTGACACACACGGGAGCGCAGTCTCGCTCCGTCGGCCTGGCCGCTTCGCGCGGTTCGGCCGCGCACTTACATAAATATTTTTCTCGGCCGCGAATGCACGTGGGGAATGCGCGCGCGACAGTTGTGCAAGAGTCATTACTCGTTAGCGAATTCTTATTTCCAGAACGCCCCGATGCGTAAAAAAGAGGCGTAACGCGCGACAGGTGTAACTATTACAACGGTGTATGAGAATAAGATGATGTTTTCCCTCGGCCGATGCATGTATACTTTATTTCACGATTGCGTAACTCGCATCGCAAAGATCTGAGCGTGTCGACACATCAGCGAGGAGAGAAAGAGAGGCGGAACCGATGCTACATCTTTCTTACACCGTTCACGACGAAATACGCGAGATACTTGTGGGATTTTGTTTTTATCCCAAATGCAGAGCTTTTAGGTGAAGCGGCGAAATCTGCCGATCCGAGGCGCAGACACACGTTTCTCTCGTAGGTGCGACTTTACGACCAGAAAGATCAAAAGGTTCGCGATTACGGCGAAGCAAATATATTCTCGCGCGGTGTGCCCCTCCCCTCCCCTCGATTTCTAAATTTAAAAGAACTGAATTTGCATCTACGTAAGCGCGGGGAAATAAACACGTACATGTACATATGCATACATCGGTGCGCGTCAGACGAAGCGATGATTTACTAAAAATAAATCACCAGGAATTTATCGGTCGTCGCGTTGTCGCGAGTGCGTTTGCGCACACGACCGACGGCGAATGCGCGGGTACGTGAGAACGATGTATAAAAACGTCCTTTTAATTCACGTTGTTCAGAATTATTATCGCGCGGATCGAGTCGAGAAGTTACGTCAGGGCTTGACATTGGCGGCCGTCACAGCCGTCATAGATCGTGCCGATCACCAGAGAGAGGAAAAGAGAGAGAGAGAGAGAGAGAGAGAGATCGGTGTTTTATATGAATGAACCACGTATACGCGCGCGGTTCTGCAATTTACCGTAGGAAAAAGGAAGAAAAAAAAATCCCGACTAAGCAACACCGATGATTGTGATCGATTCCCGCTTCCTCTCGCGATTCTTCGTCATCTCGCACCGGAAACGGAGACGTTTGACATGCGCAGGTATTTCACCCCGATGTCATTATAACCGTCTCGCATTAATTACAATCTCGCGAGCAGATCGAGGTCGCTCGGTTAAGGTAAGCTCGCGATGATGAGGTGCCACGACACGCCACGTTTAATCGTCATATTGTATAATAACAAAAACAAATCAACGAGTCGCGCATAACACCGATCGAGCCCGAGAACTCGAATTAATTATAGTTCTGATTAATGAGAGCGAGTATTAATCGATGATGGTTAATGATGTACGATAGATATAAGTGCCAAGACGTCATGACGATATGTGACGTAAATCGAAAAGGAGGCAAAAGAGAACAGACCGAAACTGCATATCACGCGTTATATATATTATATATGTGTATATATCTTTGTTAATGTTTTTTCAATTAGCTACTGTAATAAAATCTGTATAAAACTAGAGCCAATAAATTATTTAAATGAAATACTTTGGAAATTATTTTCAAATCCCGCGTTATATATATCAAAATTATTTTTCCCTTGCTGGCTGAGTTCTGATATTCACTGGCAATATTGAAAATTTATAGTTCATGTTACGTATATTATAGATTTTCAGTACTGGCAGTGAATACCGGAACGCAGCCTATGTATGTGTTGGGTTGCTGCAACGTAAGTCACACGGCAAAAAATTCGATGTTAAAAACGGTCCACCGGAAATTTG